GCATCCCCTAGGACCTTATTAGAGAAATATCAACGCGGAGTCCCAGACCGTCTGTACCACCAACTCGGGACTGGGAACCAGCGGCCATTTAACAGCCCTCCACGTGGGGTGACGCCACAATACTCCGTTGTTAGGCTGCTCAACAGTGATTCGGGATAGAGCAAAGTGAATCCACCAAAAAGACACAGACCTGGTAAGAGGCAGACAGGGTAGGTGGTCCCATCGGTGGCCCTCTGCCAAAAGGCACCCATTCCCTACTATTCCAGATGAGACAGGCTCAAATTCTTGCTCTCAGAGCATCTGTCGCTACAACACTTCTTGAGAGACATGCAGTGGACTCGGGCCTGCATTCTAATAGGAAGACCGTGAGAGCCAGATAGGACAGAACGAGCAAGAGTAAGACTCCGCATTTCCAGTGAGGAATCGGGCAAATTCATCTCCATCCAGTAGCCTGAGTGGTTGGACCATAAAGACAAACCAGGAGCAACCGGCTTCTGTCTTTGGGCTAAAAGAATAGAAGGTATTTACAAAGCACGTCCAGCACTAGGCTGAGAAGCTACTTACATGTACTGTCTTAACTGCATGAGAGAAGTGGTTTTCTACTTTACAGATGGGGAAACTGAGGCACAGAGAGGTGAGATAAATAAATTGAGGTCTCAGCAAAGAGGTGACCAGCAGCTGTGCTTGTGAGCAGCGCACACTGCTCTCTGGGTCAGCACACTGCCTCACCCTCTGAGAAGGCCTCCACCAAACGTTAATCATTCGTCCACATACATTATAGCACCTTGGTCCTTCAGAAGGTGATCTCTGCCCAGAAGTCACGTCCACGTGGAAGTCCACCCTCTACTATGCTGCTCCCTCGTGCGTGCCCTTCGGAAAATATTATGTGGCCCAAGAGAGCAATGACAAAGGCTGGTCTGGGTCTGGGGCCACTCAGACCTTGGGGCTTTCAGAGGACAGACTGTTGCCAACAAATCCTCTAAGCCCAGACTCCCCAAACTGAGCCATTCAACATGGCCAAAAATGCCAGTCCTGGAGGTACAGTGGGGGGCATAGCTGCCTTCCAACATGGCCAGAAGCCAACTTGTCTCCCTCCCCTGAGCTAGGGGAGGTCTGCACATTGCTGGTTTCCTTGCGTGGAGGAGTCTGACTCCCCTTCCACATTTATATTCCCTTGCCCGTGAAAGAGCCCATCAGACAGGAGCGTAACACCAGGGCCCAGAGAACCTCCGGGCTTGCCCTCCCACCCCATCCGCACAGGTCTCCCCATCTAACCATCTGTCCGCTGAGCACGGGCGCGCAATATACAGGATACACACCAGCCACAGACCCCCAGCAGGTATCTGCACAGAACAAAAGCCCAAGGGATTTCCAAACCCTACAGAAGCTCCGGCCATTTCTTGGGGACGGCCTTTTTGGCAGCCCGAGAAAATACATGATTTAAAAGGCACATACAGTTTTGAATAATGATAGAATTTGGATCATTCCAGAGTGGGACCAACTGCTCACCCATCTATTCGCACTCAGTAATGTCCGAGGTCAGAGAGACGCACTGCACTTCTACAGCACCCGAAGGAAGTGGGGTGACCGTGATAAGCTAAAGTGGATGCAGAGCCTGCAGGTTTCTGGGGTAGGCGGATGGCATTTCGGATCCTGCCTGCTCCTGGCCCTGCTTTACAACACCATTTTGTGTGCACTGCACATCTGGTCACGAAAAGAACCACATGTGAACAGGGATTGGAAAAAATGATAAGATGGAAGATCCGGGCATTAACTTCCAAATTTTTTAGTTGTCCTTGCGAGCCTAGTGGGTAATGTCCATCAAAGTAGGTTTTGATGAGTATTTGTGGACCAAGATACAAAGGAATAGAGAAGAGAAACACAATGTAAAGAAGGCCCCAGGCGCTGAGCTGTCAGCAGAGCACCCCACGTGGGGCTCAAACTCAGATTGCAAAATCCTGACCTGATCCAAAATCGAACACTTAACTGAGTCACTCACGTGCCCCAGAAATATTTTATTTATTTCTGAGAGCGAGCAAGCGTGAGCAGAGTAGGGTCAGAGGGAGACACAGAATCAAACAGGCTCCAGGCTCTGAGCTGGCTGTCAGCACAGAGCCTGATGCAGGGCTCAAAACCACAAACCGTGAGGTCATGACCTGAGCTGAAGTTGGACACTTAACCGACTGAGCCACCCAGACGCCCCCAGAAATATTTTTAAAAATCAAACTTGAGAGGCACCTGGGTGGCTCAGTTGTAAGATCATGGGACTCTTGATGATGGGGTTGGGAGCTTGAGCCCCACCCACACTGGGTATAGAGATTACTTAAAACTTGGAAGTTCTAAGAAAACTGCCATTGCTTCTTCTAAGAACTTGCATTTCTTTAAAGACATATTGAGGAAAACTGGCTAACTCCTCCCTGACAACCCAGCAGTGCTTGAGTGTTGGACAAATCCATTATTCATGGATTTGAAAATTTCAAATATTGGTCTGTTTTTAACGGCACACAGTGATGTTAAGCACTTAAAGCAGAGATGGTAGTGGTGTACGTTTCTGACATTAAATTACATGCAAACAAAAAGCTGTACAGCTCCGTCCTCAGGTTTAGTTCCTGGTACTGTTTTGAGCTCAGCTCCCGCACAGCAAGCAGCGTGCTGCTTCCAGGGAACGCGCCCTCCCTCCCGCTGGCCGCACAGTCACGGCCCGTCTCTAACACACCTTGGGATCTGGGCCAAGGAAGCCGTCACTGGGCTTTCACCCTGCAAAGCTTCGCCCATGCGCTTGGTGAGCAGGGGAAGGAAACCTAGAAGTGACAGTGTAGTGACCCGCACTAAGAGCTGTGGGTCCCATTCCTGTGGCTCACGAAGGCCTTTTAAAACCAGCAACAAACCAACCAGCTCTGGGGAAATCGTTTTTACTCATTAAAATCTCCCTGTGGGAAGAGGAACTTTACAAAGTCCTGACGTGACATCTATGTACCCACTGTGGGGGACCAAGGCCCAAGCAGGTAGGCCCCAAGGACCACAGGAACCTCTCCCCTCTGAGGACCGATGCTCCACAGACCCTAAGGACCCCCCTCCCCCGTCTTCTCGTGACTGACCGACCCACAGCACCTTTGATGACTGCAGACCTCAGGAACGTTCTGTCCCCCTTCTTGCCCGCAGTCTGGAAATGAGGCGTGCCGGCATCGCCCCAAGGGCAGAAGCACCTTGTTTTAGTTCTAGCCTTGGAACCCTTAGAGATCATACTGGCATAAAACAGCACGTACTCCATTCCCACGTGGCGATCTCAGAGCCTGCTGACCCGGGTGGAGGTGCTACGGGGTGGGAGTGGGGGGTGTCCCTCTGCAGTAGAGGACAGCTCCAGGGCCTTCCCAGAGAGTTTACAATTGAAGAACATTTGAGGACCTCCTAGAACAGAGATGTATCACCTTCGAAAAACCTCCTCTCAAACCTGGAAATCCTTACGTCATCCCTGATACAAAGGGGAAACTTCCTCTTTCTGGAGGTTTGGCGCGAAGGGCCACTCAGCTGGATTTCTTCGAAGGCTGTACCATCCTGCTCCTCCCATCTTTGTTTTGCAGCTGGAGGTCACCAGTGGGCGTACAGCACGGAGGAGCGGGGAGCTGGGCAGAGCCCCCCGCCCCCCACAGCCACATACGAACACTGGGCAGAAGAGGCTGGCAAGGCCGGGGGATTGGCTACAATCTCCATACTGGAGAGGGTACTAAAGACAGAAGGAAGCTGTGAAGAAGGTGCTACTATCCGTATAAATTCAGGGCTTCTAAATATACCTACAGATAAAAAGATGAGTGTTTTGGGGCGCCTGGGTGGCTCAGTCAGTTGGGTGACTGACTTTGGCTCAGGTCATGATTTCATAGTTCTTGAGTTCTAGCCCTACACCAGGCTCTGTCAGCCAGAGCCTGAAGCCTGCTTCAGATTTTGGGTCTCCCTCTCTCTCTGCCCCTCCCCTGCTTGTTCTCTCAAAAATCAACATTAAAAAAATTTTTTTCAGGGGCGCCTGGGTGGCTCAGTCAGTTAAGCGTCCGACTTCAGCTCAGGTCACGATCTCACAGTTCATGGGTTCGAGCCCCGCGTCGGGCTCTGTGCTGACAGCTCAGAGCCTGGAGCCTGTTTCGGATTCTGTGTCTCCCTCTCTCTCTGCCCCTCCCCTGCTCGTGCTCTGTCTCGGTCTCAAAAATAAATGTTAAAAAAAAAATTTTTTTTTTTAAAGATGTTTGTGTGTACATCTAGATACGCACACGCACATACACACATGTGCGCACACAGGTCTGCTTCCTAGTGGTCTGCTCAGAAGGCCTAGGAAACATCCCAGTAGCAGTGAGTGCTCCAAGCACACCCGGACCATGGTGGTTTCTTTTCATGTATGTTTTTCAATCTACGCCCCACAGGGTGGGGGCTCAAATTCACAGCCCTGAGATGAAGAGTCGTGTGCTCTACTGACTGAGCCAGGCAGGCGCCCCACCCCCGCCCAGACCCTGTTTGTTCAGACGTGGTCACTAAAGGGGACCAGGGCTCCTTGGAGAACCGGCTGACTCCAGGACTAGGGAAAGGGAAATATTTTCCCTCTCGCTGCTTTTATCCCTGCGACGTCAAATCCCCTTCTGTCCCTGAGCTCGCTCGCGCTCTCCCCTCCATAACCTTCTGACCACTCTGTCCTCCTGGCGGTCCAACCCACGGCTGGTTTTTATACTGAACCACCTCTATGAGCATCTTCCAAAATGAAACAGAAAGCTGCCAGCCTACTCCTCAGCCAGGGTTGAACGCAGTGCCTCACCTTCCTCCTCCGAGTGTGAGCGCACCTGCAGGAAGTGAGGAGACTTGCAGTGTCGAGAAATTTCCTCCTCTGGCTCATTTCTTCAGGTGACAGTGTCAGGTTCAAGAGGAGAGGCCTCTCCCCTCACCTGGCTGCCCACCCGCCACGCTTCTACACCCTCACATCTTTCCTCACTTCTTTAGATACTGCTCGAAGGGACCAAAAATTCATTAGTAGCTGTTTATTGATCAATGGTTTGATATAAAGTTATTTCAGATCTTCAGAATTTTGTCCAAATAGAATCACAAGAATTACAAAGTTTTGTTTTTTTAAAAAAAAAAAAAAAAGGTAGGAGGCAGGTTGGGAGGGGACCAACCTCACAGTAGTGGCATTTAAGAATAAATTAACAAAAAAAATTTAGTATTACCATTTATTGGTGACAAACACTATGTATGTTTTACTTACATTCCATGGGGAGAAAAAATTCCAGCGTAAACATCGGAATCGAAAGCAGTACTTAACTCGCAAGACTACGGTGCTTTTCATCTGGACCATATGCAGGACCTTACCACACACGCTTCCGTGCGCAGTAACACAACATCAAAAGCAACAGTTTCGGAGCTCAACACAGGCCATTCTTTTCTGCCCTACATGGAGATGTAACAGCAGTACAAAGCACTCCAGGAAAACCCATCTGTGGGTCTAGATGTAATACACGGAGACCATATCCTGTAGTGTGAAAGCTATGTGTCCTCAAGAGCCGTAGGTATAGACATACAATTTTTTTTAATAATCTTTAAAACAAAGATCAAAATTCATTTGTTTAAGTCCTGTTGCATTAACAAAAATAAGGAACCAAATGATCATTAAAGTTTAAAACTCCTAAACTGTCCAATTTATACAACCAGGGGAGACTTCATCTAGGACGCCGAGAAGCCCAGGATCGTTCCAGCGGAACCAGACGGCACCCCGTCCGTGTCACTGGGACGGTCCTGGCTTAGTCTGACAAAGTAGAAACGTAGAACCACATACACACGGATATGATCTCTGCTGATTAGGTTTCCGACAGGGTCAGTCTCGGACACGTTTCTAAACTGTGCTATGTATGGAACTAGATACAACTGAGAAACTCTCAAAGGAGAACGTATATAGTGTCGTTTCAATCAAAAGAAAAGAAAACTAAGAATACGCATCTGTTGGAAGAGAAAGCAGTGGTGACGGTGTGGGCACCGCGAGGTGGGGTGCAGCGCGCTAGAACGGTTAGTTGGCGCTGAGTAGGAAGCATGTGATTTTCTCTGGTGCTCTCAGCTCTGGGGCTGGTCTAAGGCCCCTATGTCCCCGGCGTGGGCGGCCAGGCTTCGTCCCGAGTGTCGGTATGAGCCAGTCTGAGAAAGGGTCACGCGCTCTTCCTCCTGTGTCCTTAACGGCCCAAGTGGCGGCGGCGGCCGAGCACCGAGCCTGCTGCTTTCCCGGTCAAGCCAGGGCCACTTGACAGGCCCCGCTGTGCCCCGCAGCAAGCAGCTGCCTGCGTGTGGGGACAAAACACCGTGCACGTGTAGCCACTCCGCCTCCCTGCGTCCCCGTCTTCGTCACCACTGCCGCCTCTGCTTTACCCAGCACGTCTCTCAGCCCACTGGAGGTATCAGAGATTCCAAATTCTTGAAGCAGTTTCAGTATTTTCAGTATATATGTTGGGGTTTTACAACGGTTCGTGGCCAGAAAAGGTTCAGCACCTCCCACACCTTCAAGGAAGAAGAAAAGTGAAAAAATGATGCCAGTTTTGAAATTTAAGGGAATTAAACCCACGTTACAAATGAAAAGAAATGAGCTGACACTGAAGTCCAAAAGCACAGGCCCCGGTTTATGCTAACTGGGTTCAAGTTTTGTCGGGATGTTACTGCCAACTGAAAAAAATCACTGCGGAGAATCGTGTAGTATGGCGGCTCTGGGAGGGAAGAAATAATGAAGCACAGGATTATATTTGCATCAAGAAACACATAGAAAAGATAAACTAATAAAAATGTGATCTCTGACTCTTAATGACAGAGAACAGATGGGGGTTGCTAGAGGGGATGTGGGGGGGGGATGGGCTAGATGGGGGGGTGGCAGTAAGGAGGGCGCGGTTTGGACACGCACTGGGTGTTGTGCGTAAGTGACGCATCGCTGAATTCTCCTCCTGAAATCAGTACCGCGCTGTAGGTTATAAAGACAATCCTGGGAGGAAAAAAAAGCTCCAGGATGAGCTGGGTGGGGGCTGCACGGAGGGCAAGACTGATCACTGTGCACCTTTGAAAATAATTTTGTTTTTGGAAGCACGTGACTGTATTACCTATTCAAAAATTTTAAAAAACGCTCTGCCCCCAACTTAGAAACCTCCTGGGAGAAAGGGACAGAAAAGGGACTGAGGTGAGTTTCACTACTGAGTTGAGCTGACAGTTTGAATTTAATGCAAATGAGGAAAAGAGCTGCCTTTCCGTGTAAACGGGCACACTCACACAGACATTGGTCCATTTCCTGTTCTTGGCATCTCTGTGCTTTGTTGGTCCAACTCAGACAGCAACTTTAAAATATTCAGTGCAGCCTGGCAGGGACGAAAGGGAGAGTCAACGTGCAGCCGCTGCCCGCGAGGGACCAAACGGGGAGCCCCCCAAATCACACTTTGCCTTAACATGTCAATTTTTAATTTAAAATACAAACTAAAAAATGACCCATGTTTACCTCACTGAATCACAACCTCTGTTAATTAAGTTTTCTTCCAGTATTTTTAACCTTGTGGTAACCAGAATACAAATTCTGTATCCTACTCAAAAACAAAAGCCTCTCGTGTTTCCTTGCTACTTTGCTAGAATACATGATCTTTAACATTAACCTGACGGATGCCTTACATCCCAGCAGGTGGATATACCACGGCTTACTCAGATTTATCAATTCTGTTTCTCAGTTTTAGTATTTCTCGTAACAGTAGTTTCACCTGAACACCACACACCACAGTAAGGGACTTTCTGCAGCTCCCCCAAACTCGGGCCTGGGGTTCCGTGTATCTGTTCACGTGGAGGAGTTCCAGGTCCACCCCCCAGGTCAGCACAGGCAAGGGGAGGGAACGGGTATCTAAACCTGATGAAGTCCGATAAACAGGATGAGAACTCAACCCCATAAACTAAGGAAGGGGTCTTCAAAAGACGAAATCTAGGAAACAACCAAAGCCTATGCGAGAGCCCATTTCCGGTCTTCCCCAGGCCAACAACAGGCAGGAGCCAGGCCCGCTGGTAACATACCATGTCATGGCAGGACTCCACATCCTTTCCAATCCCGTGGCTGATCAGAGGTGGCTGAGAGGAGCAATTGATTAGAGACACAAATTCGTTCTTGTTGTTTTTGGGGAAGTCTTTGTATTCAACCTGAGGGGAGAAGAAAGCTGAGGCCGGGCAGGGAAGGGGCAAATACAAACGGAGCCCAGCGAACAGCAAGACGACCTCTCTCTCCCTGTTCTCAACCTGATGAGGCTCCACCAACTCCCGCTCGGTCGGCAAGAGGCCGTCAGGGGCCTGCAGCTGGGGCCGCCAAAGGCTGCAGGCAGCGGCCCGGGGCCCTAGCTTCCGAAACCTTCCCAGAACCTAGATGCGCACGCGGAAACCCCGGTCTGAAAGCAGCCAGGCCCCTGGCCAGCAGGCAGGCAGGGCAGCACAGGGGGTCCGTGTTCGCTGGAGCTGCCACGAGGACCCGCAGCTTGGTCGTTACGGTCGGCTTGGATTTTTCAGAATTTTGTTACCAGAGGACAAGGTTACTTTACACCGTACAGGCTTGTGGGACCTTCCCTACCTCCCCGAACCACCCAGTTACCACGGGCCCTCCACCACCCCTTCCCCTATACAAAGGCCCTGATTTAATAAGGTGCAAAGCTCATTTCCTTAGAGAAACCCCCAAAAGATGACTGCACTGAGGTCTGGACCACACGGCTCAGGCCTAACAGTTACCTGTAATCCCTGGACTCTGGAAAGAAAATCCAACTGCTCAGAGGGTCTTGTAAGAGGTCCATGGGGTACGTGGCCTGAAGAGATGTTACTCTTTAAAATGGTCTCGGCCGTGGGCGAGGTGCCCCCATATAACAATTCACGGGCTATCATGGCAGTTACCGTGGCCTTGGCAGGATTCAGAGCTGCCCTGGTGAAATCTTTGGTGTGGTGTCCTTGACTGACTCCTACGGCCTGGGCCACCTCGGGCACCATGGGCAGAATCCCAGCGGGCAGCTGCTGATGGCTAAGGTAGGGCATCCTAAACTCATCGTCTTTATTGCCTAGGGAGGGACATGCACACACATCAACACAAGGCCACACGCGCCGCTGGGAGAAACACTTTCCAACCCACTGGCCCTCCCTCGGTGCTCGCAACGGCACGGGGATGACACAGAGCTCAACACTGCTTGCCATTCCGGGAGCTACGCAAATCCCAGAATCAAGTTCAGATCAGGACAATATTAACAACACACTTACTAGTCCCATTTTCATCCCCAGAGCCAGGTTCAAAAAAGGTTACTTTTCTTCCATCCCCTGGTTTTTTTACTGGTGTCTTAAAAAAAAAAACAAAAAAAAAACAAAAAAACAAAAAAAGGCCATGAGCATAAATCAAACTCTTGCAAAATTAGTTCCTACTAAGATTAAACAAGCTCCAACCAGCACTGACCTGTGGTTTGTGACATTTTGCAATACGAAGAGGTGATGGGCACAAAGCCTTACCCCCACGCCGCCGCCCTGGCAGCCTCCTGCCCTCACCCAGTGACACTGTGGCCCCACATAGCCTGTCCTCAAAGAGACCCTAACAGGCACACGGAACCAGGTACTGAACTCGGCTCTGCACTCACGGGAAGACGGGAGCATTTAACCGGAGGGAGCCACGGATGCTAGACTGTTAAGAGTCCAAGTGGGGAAAGAAGCTCTTAGACTCTTTGTGTAACTAATATCCAATTAAAGGAGAAGGGGCTATTTCCAAAGATAAGAAACGTGGGGGCAAATGTTAACAAGATGAAAATTTTCTCAAACACGGGTCTCCTTTTTGGGAAGGTTAAGGATGCTGTGAATCCTCTACCAGATTTTGGAATGAAAAACCCAAGCCCAGGATCTATGCAGATTCTCTGAGGAGTGTCTGCGGCCAGAGCAGACGCCACGTCCCACTGTGGACACGGCAGGCACAGGGAGCGAATCCATCCTGGCACCTCTCCGTGGAAACAAGCTCAGGTAAGAACTTGCTTGAAGGTACTGCTTACCCATCTTGAAGATTTTTATCTAGTGTGAAATTCATAAAGAAAAAAATCCCAAATCTAAACCGTGGATTTAGTTCCATAAACCACACTGTGCCGGCGTCCCAGAAAACCCAAAGCCTGCTTCCCAACTAGTGGAAGCCTAAGGTTGAGAACTCGTTTCTGGAGGCCTCGCTGGGAGAGCACGACGACAGAACGAGACGTGTTAATTTCAAGCCCAGTCGCCCAGCATCCTACAAATGGAAAGAGCAAGCTGCCCTCCAGCAAAGCGTCCCGACCACAAAGATACGGAAACAAGAACGACTTAACCCAGAGCCACGCTTGGAGCCACGGACATGCAACTCCCCTTCTGACCACATTATAATGGTCCAAATGGGTAAGACGCTGCTCAGCAGGGCTGTTTACTGCCAGGAGGATGAGGCCTGGCCCTGAAGCTTGGCCCTGGAGGTGACAGAGTCCCCTAGGATGAGACGAGGAGGTCATCTTGCGATTAGAGAGCAAGGACACAGCCCCGAGCAGTCACCTTCTCCTCTGATTTGAGGGCTGGTTTGGTGGGCTGAGCCTGTGGGACTTTGAAACCGAGGATCTCCAGCATGTTCTCGGCTGCATTGCGTTTGGCCACCTTCTTATTGGTGCCGGTTCCTTCCGCAGTATGGTTTCCCACCTTCACCTGCATGAGGACGAAGTCAGGACTCAGACCAAAGCTTACACCTTCAGAGTAAAGACTGGTCGGGCATCGGTGTGCCAGCAAAAGAACCCAGCAACGGTCAGAACCAGACGGCTTAAGAGTGGTGGCCCGGAGCGGGCCTGTAGCAGCCGCTCCGACACTAGACCACAGCAGCTTCTAATGTCTGTACCGGCACGTAGAGAACACTGGAAAGTTATCACTTCCTAATGGGACTACGTCTTAACAGTCCTCTGTGCCTCTGGGGTCCTCTGCATCGTGGCATCTGTTTGGGGGAAATATCACAGGGTGGAATGCTCCCACACTCGCCTTCCCAAGCCCGGGATCCAGGCGCCACGGGGATAACCCCGGCACAGCTGGTGGGACTAGTTACACCAAAGATGTGCACACAGTATGCAGCAAGCTCTTGGTTGTTTTGCTGTCTACTCTAAACTTAGGAGATGGAGAAAAGGGTAATAATGCAAATTAAGCTTAAAAGCGTGCCAAGGCTACAGCCGTGGCACTCTCACTAGCATAATGGGAACATTTGCCCAATCTTTGAAAATTATCTGATCCAATAAAGTCACTCATTGTTTACAAATGAGTGAACTTCCAACATGTCTTTGTTGTTTTACTTTCAGCTTCTCTATGTAGACAAAACTACCAAGAATCACCCAGGCTAGGACTAGTCATTTGTCAACAGCATGAGCAACTCCTCTGCTTAAACTGGATAGTAATAAAGCATTTATGTGCAGTCAGATTTTATACTACTCAAGATGGTAGTTACGCTAAAGTTACAGATATATAAAATTAACAGTAAAGAGTATTATGTATTTTATATATTATTTGTAAACTGTACGTTACACATCCCTTGTCAGTGAAATTTATAATATCCACGTACACAGTTTCTTTATGTGTACACATCCATAGACATACATGCGCCCCCCTTCCCACTGTGCCACCCTCCCCTAAGAGAGCTGATTGTTAAACACATTCCTGCACACATCACTGCTTACAATCCCCTTCCAAGCTGGTCCTGAGCACAGACCAGAACCAAAAGCCCTACGTCACAGAACTGAGAGTCAAGGAAATCTTCCCTGGCCAGTGACAAGTGTCTGAGGGCAGGGAGCAGGGCCCACCGGGCCAGTGCACCTCACCCAGCCTCCTTGGGGGAAGCATCCAGCTCCTGGACCCGGTCCGGCCGAGATGGGACGTGGTCAGAGGAGGTCTGCCCGTAGCCCACGCCCACCTACCTGCATCACGAACTCTCTGCGGCGTGGGAGGCCTCGCTCCGTCAGGAGCATGTACTCCGGCTCCTTCTCCTTTTTCGCCTGCTGGATCTGGGCCAGCCTGCTAATCGGGTTCACCCCCTGGCCATACTCTGTGCTGCTCTGTAGCTGAGAAACAATTAATGTAGAAACCATGTGCCACGTTAGGCGCAGAAAGGACTCTGCCATTCAGAGAGCAGGATGTGACAAGAGATTACTTTTATGTTGATCTAAGGGCTCAAATTCATCAGACCTTTTTAAAACTTTTTTAAAATTTAATGATTTCCTAGGATTGCACTGAGGTGACTTTTTTAAAGGTCTTCCTGGCAAACCAACATCACTATTTCACTATGAGTAGACAACTATCATTGTAATGTCTGCTTTTTGACAATAAATTACAATTTCACAATGAAGAGAGAGAAGATACACAGAACGCTATTCCCAAACCCCCCCCCAAAGTCTATTATAAAGACGGGCTCCCAGCTTTCCTAACAATGACTCAAAATCCAGAAACTATTTGAAAAAAACAAAAAAAACAAAAAAACCCTCCCAAGCTGACACCATATGGAAAGAACCTAAGAACCCCACCGTTCCTTCCCAGTGGCCGCCTTCAGCATCACGGAACCCTCACCCACAGACTCACGTGGATACGAAGAGAAAAAAGGAAACCGCAGCAGCGTACAGAGTGTGCTCACTTCTGTGTCCTGGGCCTTGACAGAGCTCCCAGCTAGAGCTGACCCTTGAACAGCAAGGGTTTGACCTTGCAGGTCTACTTACAAGCCGGTTTTTCTTTTCTTTTCTTTTAATAAATACAGTAGAGTAAATGTGTTTTCTCTTCCTCATGACTTAATAATGTTCTCTTTTCTCCAACTTACTCTACCGTGCAAATACAGTATGTAACACACACATGTAGTAACAATATAGAACATATAAAATGCGTTACTCAACCATGTGTGTTTTTGGTGAGGCTTCTGGTCAACAGCAGGCTATCAGTGGTTAAGCTCCTGGGGAGTCAACCCTAACCCCGTGCTGTTCAGGGGTCAGCTCATGTTGACAGTATTCCTAACTATGCCGGAATGGACGCCTGCCCCTTCTCTGGGTGGGGAGCAGGTATAATTTCTGACAGGTCCACTGACACAGCTTTAAAAAACCCCAGAGAGGGACGCCTGGCTGGCTTAGTCGGTTAAGCGTCCGACTTTCACTTAGGTCATGATCTCGCAGTTCATGGGTTCGAGCCCCGCGTCGGGCTCTGTGCTGACTGCCAGCTCAGAGCCTGGAGCCTGTTTCAGTCTGTGACTCCCTCTCTCTCTGACCCTCCCCTGCTCACGCTGTCTCTCTCTCTCTCCTAGAAATAAACAAAACAAAACAAAAACCCCCAGAGAGTAAGGCGGCATTTGGCAAAACGCCTTACTCATCCGCTTGTCCCCAGATATCTTTCCTCCACACTCGCACCAGTGCTGGGGTCCATGAGGTGGAGGAAGGACAACTTCACCATCCTGTCCACAGAAGGGCGCTCCTGCGGCCACACCCTCATCTGCAGACGTGTGCGCACACCCGCAGGGGCCCCCGCCTACCCGGCTCGGTGTCACGTCTCTGCCTGACCCGGGGCTCCCGGGAGAACGGCACGAGGTGGCCCCGGCGCCACGCCTGGCAGGTGGTGGGACAGCAACCATCCGCTGTCACTAGGATCCGCAACCTAGGGAGCCCTCTAAACACCCAGCCGTCTACAGACAATGAAATACCCTCTTCATTTGTGAAGGTTCTTACCCTGACTATGGATTTTGTTTTCTTTTTGATTCTGGGCTTCACTCGCTCCACTGTGGGCAGAGGTGGCAACTTCTTCAGCTCCTCAAGAACAGCTATGGCAGCATTTTTCTTTGAAATCTTCTTGCTCTTCCCTTCACCTTCCCCCACAAACTCCCCAACCGACACTTTGGTCACGAAGCTCTTCATGTGGGGGGGGCCGCTCTCCCGGGCAACCTGGTTTAGAGGGAAAAATGGGGTGAAGGCATGATAGACACCTCCTGCCAGTGACAGGGCACGCTGTGGGACGTGACCTCCCAGGAAAGCCTGGCAAAGGGGCGGTTCAGTGAGAGCTGTGAAATGAAGGGAGCGTGCACGTCAGCAAAAGGGAAGTGGTCACTCCCAATGCTTTTCTTCCCTTGTTCCTTATTTTTCAGACTTCTTAATATTCTTTGGTCTGATCAGTCCCAAACAGCATCAAAGAAATGGGGAAGCAACTTCTGCTGCCGCCCTCTGAGCACAACAGCTCCCGCCTGTGTCCCCAGGTCACAGACGGCCCTGAGTTTGGGGAGATCCACTGCAAATGGCAGAAAGGAAGCTGTCCCAGCAAAGCCCAGAAATAACTGCGACATAAAGAGTATCTGCTCTGAGCCTCAACCCAAGACTGAGCTTATTAAATACTAGCTGCTACACACGCAAGCCACAAAAAAGAGTGAGAAACTTCTAAGCACTGGCAGTGATTTCCAGTACACAGTCAGTAAAGCAGCCAACTGCAAAAGAGTTTATACAGTACTCTAACTTTTGTGTTAAAAAAAAGATTTATATATACACACAGTTATATATAAACAGACACACACGTGTGTTTACACACTTTCTTTTGCAAAAAGAAACACAGGATGGATAAAGTAGACACCAACAGAATTAGTTCCCTAGAGCAGGCGGGAGGGATTAGAGTAGAGAGCGAACAGCATGACACTTCTGAAGTATTTTTTTGTATAGTTTTGACTTTTGGTTTTATATATTAAAAGATAAAAAAGCAAGACCACAGCGATGGGAGAAAAACACTAAAACTGAATAGGAACAGAAACCTAAGTAAACAGTTATTCCAGGATCTCGTAGAGGGAAAATAAAAACTAAATCCAGCTTACCTGAGCTAAGCTGGGCTTGAGGAGAGCAGCTGAGTTAGCGGACTCACACTACCAGATTCCAACACTTCCCATAAAGTTACAGCAACCGTGCCCGCACGGTGGTGTTTACTGGCAAAGAAAGAGATCAGTAAAACAGAACAGAATGCAGCAACACATATGGTCTCGTGATTTCTGGCAAACACACCACCGCACATCAAGTCTTTTAAATATTAAAAACAAAACAAAAACAAAAACAAAAACACCAACTCTAGATATCCCCACAGGAGAAGCAGTCTCAAACTCCACCACAAACAATAGGTAACTGGAGGCGGAACACAGACCTAAATGTGAAAGCTCAAACATTAGTAATGCTCTCCAAAGAAAACACAGGAGAGCAAGTCATGACCATGAGAGTAGCAAAGAGCTCCTGAAAGCACAAGGGACCGGCCTTAAGGAAAACAAAACTGAAGGTCCTAGAAATTAAAACTGCTCATCGTGGGGCACCTGGGGGGCTCAGTCGGTTGAGCATCCGACTCAGCTCAGGTCATGATCTCATGCTGGTGAGTTCAAGCCCCGCATCAGGCTCTGTGCTGACAGCTCAGAGCCTGGAACCTGCTTAGGATTCTGTGTCTCCCTCTCTCTCTGCCCCTCCCCACACTTGCACTCACTCTCAAAGATAAACATAAAAAAACAACCCTACTCATCAACAGATAACATGTAAAAAATACAGGGAACCCATAGAAAGGGAGAGAATATTTGCAACATGTGTACCTGACAGAGGATTTATTTCCAGAATACTGAAAGAATGCCTCAAGTGAATAATAAAAAGACAAATTCCCCAATTACAGAAAACGTGACCAGGTACATTACAAAACAAGATCTCTAAAAGGGATTATGGTCTGTCATCAAGGAAATGCAAACTGAAACCACAATGCCATACTGTAAGATACACACCCCAGAATGGCTAAAATCAAAACAACTGACAGTATCAAGTGTTGACAAGGTTGTGGAACAGCTGGTGGGAGCATAAACTGTCCGATCGCTTTGGGATACACTTGACAATTTTTAATGAACACCGGCCCTTGGGCTTAGCAATTCTGGGTGCAGATGTACACAACATTTCGCTTTATCATGATAGTTCCCAAACTGGAAGCAAGTCACATGTCCACAACAGGACAATGGATAACACCGTGAAATGCCACAAAGAAATAAACTACTGACACATGCACATGAGGCTCAACACCAAACTACCCAGATCATAACACTCTAGTTACATGACATGCAAGAAAGAAAACGAAGCTATAGTGATATCAGAAAAGAGCCTCTTCTGGGCGTGCGCTAACTTGAAAAGAGCGCCGGGCCAGCTGGAGGTTATGGGAGCACTCTAGATCTGGCCCCGGGCGGTGAATCTCGGGCTTGTACAGACGGTCAAATCCAGAACAGGCTGTGCACAGAAGACACCTGTGCCTTTGTGCAAAGGAAGCGTGCTTCGACAGGCTGACAGCAGGAGATCCAAGTATGAAATTCGGAGAAGAGAGGAAGAGCCTTATGATGCCGAACTCAAGTGAGAGGTAAACAGAGGTATTTTCTAGCACTACCTGTGCCTACAAGGCCTTGAAGCAAGGTCTCTCCTCCTCCTGGCCCCCACACGCCACTGTCCGTGGAAGTGACCCAGGGCTCCTCGCAGGAACAGCTGAGGCTGTTTCTCCTTGAATTCCCGTTTCTACTGGCACCAAAGCTTGAGCAGGGAAAGTTCTAAGCTAAAACATTTTGTTGCACCAGACAGTAATGAGTGCACTCAGGGTCTGAAGGGCGGAGGTGGGGAGCGTGTGTGCAGGGACCCCGAGGCACACAAACAGGAGAGGAAGAAAACACCTCACAGCCTACAGAAAAACCTGAACGCAGAGTGAATCATGCACCTCAATTTAAGAGCTAAGACAAACTTCTAGAAGAAAACGGGATGAGCTTAGGTGAGAAAGGTACCTCAGGGTGCACACAACCACGACGAGACATGAAAGAAAAATGAGGCAAACACGACCTCACTAACGCCTCTCTGCTCTCTGGAAGATATTAAAAAACACAAAGACAAGCGACACACTGGGAGAAAGTATTCAGAAAATACTTGATAAAAGGATTATATTCAGAATATATAGGTAACTCCCAAAACTCGATAATAAAAAACTCGGTAATAAAACCGACAGAGGCTGAGCACAGCCGCCCCCAGAGGAGATGCACAGGCGGCAAAGCGCAGGGACACACCACCAGCGCCGCCACCGGTCACCACCACGCCCCTGTAGGAATGACTATGTCTCTGACAACACCATGTGTTGGAGGCGGTGCCACTGCTCTGGGGAAGGGACAACACACACCCTCTCCCACACACCCTCTCCAGAAACAGTCTGACAACGTCTTATCACGTTAAGGATACCTATTTGTCATGCAACCTAGCAAACTCACTCCCAAGTTTTTACTCGAGAGACACAAAAACACATCTATACGAACATGTGTGCATGTCTATGGTGGCTTCACTCACCGTCACCAACAACCGGAAGCAACCCCAATGTTTCCTGACAGGTAACAGGCAGGCACGTGGCGGTGCGTCCGCACACTGGGAACTCCTCAAGCAATAAAAAGACAGAACCCCTGAGGTGTGCAACAGGGACAGCTCAAGACCCGTGTTAAGTTAAAGCAGCCAAACAAAAGGCGATAAACCCTGCAATTCCATCTGTGTCATGTTCTGACAAGAGCAGAACGGTAGGGACAGAAATCAGACAGTGGCTGTCTGAGACTGAGGACAGAGGAAAGGGACAGGCTGCAAAGGGACTCCGGGCAGCTCTGTGGGGACAGAAGTCTCGGGTGGTGACTGCAGCGGTGCTTACACAACTGTATACAAACACAGTAAAGCATATGCCCGAGGAGCAGGAAGTCTACTGTATGAAAATTACACCTCAAAAAAGCTAACCCTTCACTTCCATAAACCTCCCCAGAGGAGGACATCAAAGGACACAGGAGCCAGCTGAAGGGCGATGTGAGTACCAGCATGAATTGTGGTGTTAACGAGCTATGGTTCTTTTTCTTTTTATTTATTTTACTTAAAAAAAAAAAAAAAAGTTTATTTTTGTGAGAGAGAAAGCACAAGTGAGGGAGGGGCAGAGAGAATCCCGAGCAGGCTTTGCACTGTCAGCACAGAGCCAGAGGCGGGACCTGGTCCCAAGAAACTTGAGATCATGACCTGAGCCAAGATGGAGCCAGACACTCAGCTGACCGAGCTGCCCAGGCGCCCCTTCTTTTTTTTTTTTAAATGTAAGCTCCAAGGGTCATGAGTCACATGCTCTGCCGACTAAGCCAGCCAGACACCCCTAATGACTGATGACAATAAGGAAGTAACACTTGGAATAAAAAAGCAGCAGTGGACCTCTGCTAATGTAAATTAAGGCGTAGAAGGTTCTTCCCTGTGGAATGTCTGCTTGCAAATACAAAAAATGCACCACAGTCATCACTGAGGCCAGGAAGAATTACCAACGACTGGATTCACCAGGAGATCTCCTAGCGAACAGTGTTAGGGCGGCTCCTTAAAGCTTATGAACTACCAAGAGAAAGTAAGTCTCTTTAAGGTGGAGCATCTGGTGTAAACCAACAAAACAAGTGCCACCAACACAGTGAAATGCCTTCCTGTGATGCTCAAAACGACACCACTTCTGGGGGGTTCCTGCGGAAAAAAACGCATAATCTGAAACTAATCATGAGGAAACAATCAGATAAACTGAGGGCCATTCTACAAAGTAACTTTTAAGAAATGTCCAAAAAAGAAAAAAAAAAAAAAAAAAGACTAAGGAACTGTTACAGATGAAAAGAAAACAGAGATGTCTCTACGAGGCACAGGGTGTGACACTGCAACTGGGCACAAGAAAATACCTTCCGAAAAGGACACAACAGGGAGGGACAGGGGGCAAAATGTGAATATAGGAAGTACATTACTTAAGAGCTACAGCAATGCTCAAGTTCCTATATGTGATCATTAGATTGTGATTATTTAAGACAGCGTCCTTGCCCTTAAAAGATACATGCTGCTGGGGCGCCTGGGTGGCTTAGTCGGTTAAGCATCCGACTTTCGCTTGGGTCATGATCTCGCGGTTCGTGGGTTCGAGCCCCGCGTCGGGCTCTGTGCTGACTGCCAGCTCAGAGCCTGGAGCCTATTTCGGAGTCTGTGTCTCCCTCTCTCTCTGACCCTCCCCTGCTCACGCTGTCTCTCTCTCTCTCTCCTGGAAATAAATAAAAAAATAAAAAAAAATAAAAAAAAAAAAAGATACATGCTGAAAGAGGCACCTGGGCAGCTCAGTCAGTTAAGCATCTGACTTCAGTTCAGGTCACAATCTCACCGTTCCTGAGTTCAAGCCCCACATCGGGCTCTGTGCTGACAGCTCAGGGTCTGGAGCCTGATTTGGATTCTGTGTCACCACCTCTCTTTCTGCCCCGCCCCCACTCACGCTCTTTCTCTCTCTCAAAAATAAACAAACATTTAAAAAGCTAAAAAAAAAAAAAAAAAAGATAAAGAGGTACACACTGAAATACTATGAAACATACTATCTGCCACTTGGTATCAAATGATCCAGCAAGAGCCAGAAGAGATAGAAAATAAAATACATACATTCACACAGAGAAAAAGCAAATGTAAAATGTTGATCACTACTAAATCTAAGTGAAGGATAAATTCACTGTCTTTCCAACTTTTCCACAGGTTTGAAATTTTTCAAAATAAAATATTCAAAAAACGGCTAGGAAAACAAAGTAAACCCAAGAAACAGTGGTGCTATGCTCCCAAGTAAGGACAAGGGGTCCCCCAGAGAGTGAGTGGCCTTCACTGCCCAACAGAAGGCGTCTGCTGGGAGGGACCGGCTGACAGCTGCCCCAGCAGATGGACTTGCGAGAGCCCCTCACTCACCACCCCCCGCCCCCTGGATCTCACTTCAGATGCACACTTGAGACGCACAGCCCACCCTGGCCTTTCAGCAACAGTTTCGTCAGCTACTCGTATCACATCATGATGCCACCAATCTACATTTGGAGCTTCACCTACAATGGATTTAGTGTGATGAGGTCACAACTGCCTCTCAGTGGCTTTATCAGTTAGCACTGTCTCATTTTTTAACTAAAACTATGTATTTTATCAAAAGTCAAGCTATATACATTTTTTCTGAAGAACTGAAAGAATGGCTCCTCTCTTCTATTTAACACTTCTAAACAACCTTTCTACGTGACAGGTTTGACTATTAAAAACTTAGTAAAAACTAACTCTTCCAGGGCGACTGGGTGGCTCAGTCAGTTGAGGGGCCCAACTCTTGATTTCAGCTAATTCCAGGGTCATGAGATTGAGCCCCACACTGGGTTCCGTGCTGAGTGTCAAGCCAGCTTAAGGTTCTCATTCTCTCTGTCTCCCCTCCTCCCTTCTACTCCTTTCCCCCTCTGGCATGCACATTCTTGCTCTCTCCAAAAATTTTTTTAAAATTATTTAAAAAAGAAACTAAAAAAATAACTGTTCCATTCACCCAATAAATATCTCCTGAGCATCCATTATGTGCCAGGCAATCTTCCAGGTGCAAGAGACAGAACTGTGGGAAAGAAAAAAAATGAAAGCCCTTGTTCAACCTAACAATGGAAGTAATATGAACCTCTGATACAGGAGTTATTTAAAGTAAGTACTCACATTAACAAACTCCATGCCACCAACACACACCGTTAAGATATTAAATTGTTACCTTGTAAGATATTCACCCAACAGAGGGCGCTCCCAACCTCTGCGACTACTTGAGTGTTCCTCGCTATAGGTTATATAGTCCTGAACACAAGTCTGAAATCTGAACAGAGTGGAAACTGGGGCAGAAGCAATCTGGTCTCAAATTCCCACAGATTTCATTAAGGATCCAGAAAGCTCTGTGACTCTCAGGCAGAACAACAACTAGCATAAAGGGTGGCAAGCTTCACAGGGAACTGGGGCCCTGGCACCAGCAGTCACTTCTGTAACCCTGAGGTGCCCTGGGAAGCTAGGCAACCCCCGCTCCCACAATCTTGGCTCCCCCTATAATCTCTACAAATCCATTCTCATGCTCCACTAATCCCTCACCAGGAGGAGAAAAGAAGTATTTCTCCCCTTTCCTACAACAGGTACCCAGGGAGACCTTGTGGACTTCTGGAGTGGAGCTCCCACCTAGTTCCTACCCAAGGATTAACCCTGTCATTCTGCGTATATCATCGTCTCCCCAGTCCCCACTCCCAACAGAGGAGGAAGGGCTAGAACGGACGAAGAGCCAAGTGAGAAGATACAGCCCTAGATCCGTCTGGGGGTCTGCTCTGGGAGGGGGACAGTACAAACCTGGTCCTGCCTGCCAGGGTGGGGCAGGGAGGGGTATAGGGGGTGCAGGATGGCCCACCACACCTGTGCCCCATGGCAGGCAGGAAAGTACTGCTAGGGAGAAGTCAGAAATCCTCATCATGCAGCTGACGGATTAAGGACTGAACTCAGGAACCAGCTTAGGGTGCTAGCACATTCAAAAGAGAAGGTATATATTTTATAAATGTCAGTATGAAGTTTGGGGATTGCCTGTAACTGCAAAAATGCTACAAAATTAAATTATTTTACAGGATGATAAATTTCAAGGAGGCTTAAAAAACAGGCCAAAAGAAATCTATGAACCACTTAAAATTGTTTTAAGCAAATGCCCCACTTCAAATTACATTAGCTTAAAAGTAACACTGTATAAGTTTAAAGCATTTTGGAAGACTAAATATATAGTCTTCATAACTCTAAAGAACCAAAGAATTGATAAAGAAATTTGCAGTGTATAGTAAAACACAACCTTGCATAACCAAGCATGGAAATCAAAAGGAATTACAAAGAATTCACCATGTGTCAGACCATTAATGAAAACTTAATCTCCCTGACCTGCCTAGTCTACTTGGACTCACTGGGTCTTTGAAGGAAACATGTACTAAATGTATCTTATTTTCCATGTTAACTAACAACTATTGTTTTTAGACCATAAAGTCTCCAACAACAAATGAAGTTACTGGAGAGGTGGATTAGAGGGCAAATGCTGGACAAGGATGAAACTGATACCCTTTTTATTTTCTTTTTTAAATACTTAGAGATCTGAGGATGTGCAAGCTGGGGAGGAGCAAAGAGAGAAAGAGAGAGAATCCGAAGCATCAGCGCAGAGCCCAATGTGGGGTTCGATTTCCCGAGCAATGAGATCCTGATCTGAGCCAAAACAAGAGTTGGCCACTTAACGAACCGAGGCACCCAGGTGCCCCAATATTGATGTCCTTTTTAACAACTACACTGTACAATTTCTAGAGACTCAATATTAACATTTGGGGAGTAACAGTCTTATGAAAACAATGGGCCCTCTCTCCAGAATACACGAGAACATAAACATAATATTCTTCAAAACCATTCCAGGAAGTTGAAAGATCTACTGAAGCCATCCATGGACTGTCTGGAGGGGCATGGCTGCCCCTAAATGAAATATAAATATGAAATGAAATATAAATTGCTAAATATAAAGCCTGAATCTTAAATCTGAAGGTTCACATGTTATAATTATTCCAATGTTTTTTAGGAAAAAAAAAATTCCAATGACGAAAGCCAACGGTGTTTGACAATAGAGTCCTACATGTAAAAACAAGCTTACCTCAAAATTCACAGGCAAGTTCCGTTTAAGTGCAATCTCAAACACTTGACTTATTTCAGATTTATTGAGATTTTCTTCTTCTGATTCTCTTCCATTCACCTAAAGGAAGAATAACTGTTTAGGAGTGAACTCTCATGAAAAACACCCACACCCCAGCTCTGCTACACGTTCACAGCACTGACCCTTAGCTGTGTGGAGCAAGCACTGACCTGGTGAGCAGGCCACTTGTCACGTGCCAGTGAATTTAAAAGTTAAAAAAAAAAAAAAGCTTGGGTCAACGTGTGCCTCGTAAATGCAGCATAAACAACCCACACCTAACAGACTCAGCTTCACTGAGGCACAACCACACACCACAGCTGCTCGGGAAGCAGGACAGACTTCCAGAGCTTTCCTCGAGGACTGGCAAGCTACCTTTTGGAAAAGTCAGAATACAGACAAATCTGTGTGGGGCATAGCAAGTTCAAATTAGAAGTCTCTCCACCTAAGTATGCCGGTCTCTTATTTGAACATAAAGTCCCCAGAAACCCACTCTTTTAAAAAGAAGGATGCGGTGCAACAAATTACAAAACTGCATACAAAATCTCATACTTTCTGCTGCCAGCAAAAATGCAGGTGCCAACTAGTTAAGTCTGCTGAACAAAGGCTGAGACTATCTTTATAGCCAGGCTCCATTACAGTCCCCCAGCCAGGGCTGGCTTAGACAGGACAGGGATCTTCTCCATGCAAGCGGGTAATACGGACTCTAGGTCGCACCACAGTGACAGTGAGAATCTAGATAAGCTCAGTAACAGCAAGGCTCCCTCCTCCCAAACCATGGCTAGAGAGCTGAATTTCTCTTCATATTATTGAGACTCTTTTATCAAAGATTTCGTACAATCCTATTTCTAAGATTAGAGCTTTCTGACACAAACTTGTAGCTAAAACTAGAGGAAAACGCAGGGCGATCCAGGATTGTATCTGCTGTGCATTTCCCTATGCTCATCACATCGATCTTACACTTACATTCGATCAGATTGTCAAACTGCAGTTAAAAGAAATAAAACTCTAAGTTAAAAAAAATTAATACAATCAAGAATACAATCCTGCACATAAATGTATCCCAAACACTCTAATTCTCTCTCTCCTTCCATGATGCTGCTGCTCTTCCCAATCAGGTTTCACTTCACTCTCTGCCTGGTCAAAACTATTTGCATAGCATTTCTGGTGGCTTATCAACCTAAAAATACTTTTATTTTTGCTTAAATCCTAAGCAGAAAGAGGGCCTGACTTTTTATGAGTGAATCCTTAAAGCCAGAAATCTTCAAGCAAGAAGCCTTAAAGGCTGGGGCTCCACAAAAGTTTGGTTTGAAATAAATTCATTCATTCATTCATTCATTCATTCTTGAGAAAGAGGGCGAGCTGGGAGGGAAAGGGAGATAGGGAGAGGGAGAAAGAGAGAAAGAAAGAAAGAAAGAGAGAGAGAGAGAGAGAGGGAGGGAGGGAGGGAGGGAGGGAGGGAGGGAGGGAGGAACCTTAAGCAGGCTCCACACCCAGCACAGAGCCTGAAGCCAACGTGAGACTGGATCTCCTGTGAGTTCATGACCTGAGCAGAGATCAAGAATCGGATGCTTAACCGACTGAGCCACCCAGGTGCCCCTGAAATTTTTAAAAGAAGTTTTAAACATAAAGCCCCACCCCACATCTTTAAAAATATGTTCAGCAAATGGTGCTTAGTGAAACAGATTTCCAAATTAAAAAAAAAAAAACATACACAAATACTAACTCAAAATGGATCAAACACCTAAATGTAAGGCTAAAATCATAAAACTCTTGGAAGAAAATATCAGGAAAAAGCTTCATGACACTGGATGTGGCAGTGACTTCTTGGATATGAGATGGAAAACACAGGCAACAAAAGAAAAAGCAGATAAACTGGACTGCTTTGAAACTGAACACTTCTGTGCATCAAAGGAAGCAATCAAGAGAGTAAAGACAACCCACAGATGGGAGAAAATATGTGCAGATCATATATCTGATAAAAAATTAATATCCAGAATATATAAACAACTCAATTCAAAAATGGGAAAAGGACTTGAATAGACATTTCTCTAAAAAACATAGAAAAATGGCCGATGACTGCATGAAACAGTGCTGAGCACCACTCATCATTAGGGAAATGCAAATCAAACCACAATGAGACACCACTTCACACCCTGAGACGGCCACAGAAAATAACAAGTACTAGTGAGAATGTGGAGCAACTGGAAACCTTGGACCTTCCTGGAGAGAATGTAAAATAGCCCAGCCTATGTGCAAAACAGCTGGGTGGTTCCTCAAAAAGTTAAACAGATTTACAGTATGATCCGGAATTACACTTCTAGATACATACTTGAAAAAACTAAAAGTAGGGACTCAAACAGATAATTTGACACCTATGTTCACAGAAGTGTTATTCACAGTGGCCAAAAGGTGAAAACAACCCAAACATCCACCAACATGTTGATAAATGGACAAAATGTGGAATAGTCATAAAATGGAACCAAAGACAGGCTCCAGGCTCTAAGCTAGCTGTCAGCACAGAGCCCAACGCAGGGCTCGAACCTACGAACCGCTAGATCATGACCTGAGCTAAAGTCAGACGCTTAACCGACTGAGCCACCCAGGCACCCCAACAAGAATTTAAGTAATCTCTACACCCAACATGGGGCTCAAACTTACAACCCCAAGATCAAGAGTCACATGCCCTACTGAGCCAGCCAGGCACCCATTTATCTTTAAAAAGCAACCCCCAAAAATGTTTTGTACCAAATAGTAACATACTAGAGATCAACCTATTAACTTGTACTAAGAGGTTAACTCATTTTTGTGCACAAAAGTTTTTTGACAGCTGTTTAGCTGAATATCTAGGTGGGTTTTTTTTTTTTTTTAAAGTTAGTTTATTTGAGAGAGAGAGTGCACGCGTGAGCAAGCACACAAGCAGGGTAGGGGCAGAGAAAGAATCCCAAGCAGGTTCCATGCTTTCAGCACAGAGCCTGATGCAGGGCTTGAACTCACAAATGGTGAGATCATGACATAAGCCGAAATCAAGAGTTGGATACTTAACCGACTGAGCCACCCAGGCGCCCCTGCAGTTTTTTGAGTAGATGAGCTGTTAAAAACAAAGGGTTCACTCTCATGCTAAGTAATTGTGTTAATGCAACCAGAGCGAAACTTAGGAATAAATTGGGTGCTGATGCTAAAATAAGACTTCAACCACCATGGGTGTACTCCAATTTTCAATTCTGTTGTTCATTTTATCAGCCCAATTACTTTTAATTTTTAATTATAATCTATTTCAAATATTCAGAAAAGTACAGCTAAATAATATAACATAAAAGGCAATTGTGCTGGATTTAACAAAGGTCAACCTTAAAGACTGCTGACATTCAATTTTTATTTTTTAAGGAAAATAATGAAGCCCTTTTCACTCTCCTTCCCATGGCAGCCTTAACCATGATTTTAAAATGGGAATGTATCTTTCCCAGCCATGTTTTTTTAATGGATGAAAACAATATATGATATAATTCTGTGTTTTGAGAATTCACATAAATCATTTTCACTGATTATATTCATAAATATTATAAAATTCAAACTTGTAAGTTTATATGAATCAATTGTTACTTTATATTGAGGTTCCACATAAGTCTGACGGAAAATAACAATCTGTTGCAAAAATCTAAACCATAAGCCAGTGTTTCTTAAACACAGCAGCAGCAGGGTCCCTCGGGAGCTTTGCAAGGACAGATGCTGGCTTCCCACTCCAGACAGATTAACCTCAAGTGTTTTCAGGTAGGGCTTAGATATGCCATTTTATTTACAGTATTTACTTTTTTAAGACTCCAATTGATTTTTTTTTAATTTATTTATTTACTTATTGTTTTATTTATTTCTGAGAGAGAGAAACACACACAGCATGAACAGGGGAGGGTCAGAGAGAGGGAGATACAGAATCTGAAACAGGCTCTGTCCTCTGAGCTAGCTGTCAGCACAGAGCCCGACACAGGGCTCAAACCCACGAACCAGATCGTGACCTGAGCCAAAGTCAGACACTTAACCAACTGAGCCACCCAGGCGCCCCAAGACTCCAGTTGATATTACTAGCAGAGTGGAGATTCACTGCTTCATGCCATTGTTTCTAAAGGGATTTCAATAGAGACAAAGCAGCAGGCAAAATAAAAATGCAAAAAAGGAAACAAAGATACACATTTACTTGGAAGTCAGGTTATGATGCTCTCTTACATAAATAATTTTGAGATTATCTGGATTAGACAAAATGTTGGATTGGGTTGGAAAGCAGCAATGTGAGTCAAAACCAATCCACAAATACCATTCTCAGTGGTATGGGACAGTGTAGTGAGGCCTTAATCTTATCTTCATGAAGTGGGAATTACTGTTAATATCAATTCCAGAATGTATGGTTCACCAATAAAATCCAGGCAACATTAAGGAAAAAAAACCAAAAACACTCTGAACCAAGCCTAACCCTCAGTATGCCAGAAAAAAAAAAAAAAGTCACCTAACCATTTACTATCTGGCTCTAACACACTCTTTATTTTTCTATATTTAAAGTCATTTTACAAATAATATGCAGAATAAAAGGACACTTTTCATCAGAGATTTTAATCAAAATTTAAAATAGCAAGTCCAAGTTTTTATTTCAGATTTGCAGTCTGGAAGGCATTTCTGTACCCAAAACAGACATGGTCCTTTAAATGCCTCTCACCAGCTGGTATGTCTGAACCCAGGGCACAGCCCACTTGTAACGATGCCATTTTTCAAATCTCCAGTGGATTCCAGCTTATCATGACTTCAGATTCTTCTTGGACTGGTATCATCAAAACACGCTACTTGTGAAACAGACTCATAATTTTATTGACGAATGGCCATCTTCTCTGCTCCATAACTACAACACACTTTCATTTTTAGATTTATAAACCCCCAAAGAAGGATCCAATGAGTTTTTTCATTGTTTTATCATCTATGTCCTCCCAATTACTGTGCGCACACACACCTCCTGCATTTGTCCACTTATCTTGTGAAGAGTCGGTGGTAAAAAATAAATTCTAGTGGTCAAACATCAT